GGAGATGAAAATATTGCAGCAGGAAGAGGAGGAGAGAATGAAAGCTGCAGTAGAAGAAGAGGTTGAAGAGGAGGAAGAGCAACCAAAAGAAGAGCCCCTCAGAAGGAGAAGACTGGGGGAAGAAGAAGGAAGCAGTGGCACGAAAGAAGATGACCCGTGGGTGGAAAGGTGGATATCTGAATGGGTGGCTAATTTATCATTGGGAGAGGATGGAGAGGCGATGCTCCATATCCCTCAGGAGGAGAACGAAGCAGCAATTAAGGAGGTGGAGGCGACGAACGATCCCCAAGAGCGCCAAACCATGGAGAATTTGAAGAGGTTGGACTGGAAGTTACGCTTGGCAAGGGAGAAGAAAAGGAGGACGGACGAAGCCAACAGGATGGCCAGTGAAGTAGAAGGTGTACAGACTTGTAGACAAGAAGTAGAGGCCCAGCCTGACATCCAAACTAAGTTAGACAAGATCCTTGGGAGCATTGAGCTCCTAGGTAGGGCCTGGACCGAACACCATCAGTCTGTTAGGGGCCAARACATGGCCCTCGACTCCATCCGGTCTGGTTTCAGGGACTTCGCACGGGATGTAATGACACATGTTGGGCGGAAAGTTAGGAAGTTAAAGGACGGCGCAGAGAAATTTTGCGCAGGCGCCATTGAGGGCGCCGAAGTAGTGGTCGCTAAAGAGGTCGAAGCGCATCCCCGCAAAGAGYCAATGAAGCTCAAGTTTCCTGACTTGTATGGCGGGAAAAAGGATGAGAACTTTGATAACTGGGAGGCCAGTATCAACACGTGTGAGTACTTGCAACACATTGCGCCAGAGGAACAAGTCCTCGTGGCCTTCCACGCATTAYGAGACGAAGCGGCCAGTTTTGCTAGGTCCCTCGCGCGAGCAGCCGATTGTGAACACAATATGGTTGCATACTTCAAACTCACCCCTCTTCCCAAATTTCTCAAACTCCTGAGAGAGAGGTTCGCTGACGTCATGCGAGGTGTCAGGGCCTCTGACAAACTGCAAACAATCCACTCACGACAARGGAAGAGTGCGAGAGCACTCAAGGCAGTTATGGATGATCTGGTAGCCATCCCAGACCACGGGGTCACTGAGACCCAGTTAGTTAACTTATGTTATCGTGCCATGCCATAGCCCTTMCKAGGGCATTTCTTTGAGAAAACCCAACAGRCCACCACCACGTWTGACGTGTTGAGTAGAGAGGTGGTCCTGTTTGGGGCAAAATCCATGCCAATTTCCACTTTCTGGGATAAAGATTTAGATAAGGGAAAGAAGTGGAAGGGTCGTACCATCTSTGGMCAGGTCAGGGCAAAGGATCACTTGATCCTWACTTTAGACGAGGGTGGTACTGACGAAGTCCCCTACAGTCAGATAGAGTGGGGGCTAGAAGAGGAAGACAGTASTGGGGGCCAAGGGAGGACCTATKCTGCTGTCTCGGTTGGAGGGAGGMYGCAAGCTAGAGGAGGAGGCCAGGGCCACGGGGYCRGGCCATGGGTGGTCGAGGTCCGGGCGCAGAGGAGGTTGGCGGCCCATGGAACCGCCAAGAGGGAGGTAGGGGCCAAGGTCCCCYKCCRAATYGCTCAGGGCCCRGTCGATCACAACAACACAAAGGTGGAGGCTCACCTCAACTGAAAGGAGGTTGGCACCTAGGTTGGCCACAGGGCCGGCCTTGGGAAGATTTGGGCTTAGATCAGAGAGTGTGGCAACAACGGATGGAGCAGGGGCAGTGTATTTACTGCGGTGACCCTTCCCATATCATTAAATACTGCACGAAGTATAGGGAAGCCTGATTCGCTGCCGAGAGGTCGAAAGGCAGCCGGCGGTAGGGGTTGCAACTGCCCTTACCATTAGGCCATGTGGGGAAGTGTGCTCGCACCACCAGGAAACTCCCACACCGCATGAGCCTCTGGCAGAGGTTGCAGGTCAGTGCCTAGTTAGCTGTCCAGAGACTGCCTGTATTAGAGTCTCTCCAGGCACTTCCCTCACAGGTCTAGCAAAAGAGTTGCAACAGGACGACGACAATGGCTACACCGTAGAGTTTATGTCAGCGAGGATACCTTCAGAGAAAGTAGCTACCTAGACTTACAAAAGAGAACTCTACGGTCTCAGACAGGCCTTAGAGCAGTGGAAGCATTATCTGCTTGGGAGGCACTTCAAAGTTTATTCAGACCACAAGACCCTTAGGTGGCTGAAAACGCAGGCCAAGATGACACCTAAGCTAACTAGGTGGGCCGTTGAGATAGATCAGTATGACTTTGAGCTCAAACCGGTCAAAGGCAAGTATAACGTAGTTGCGGATGCTCTAAGTAGGAGGTCAGATTACTGTGGAGCTATAGGTCACTACTTGGATATAGGGAGAGGCCTGCAAGAAAAAGTAAGACAGGCGTATGCACAGGACCCTATTTATAGTGACCTCCTCAAGAAAGTTAAGGAGGCCCCAGAGACTGAACCACATTACCGCACTACAGAGGGATTACGGTTCGAGAAGACCGATGGAGTAGATCGTCTGGGCGTTCCTAATAGTGCGGAGATCCGTAGTTTGATCATGGGGGAACGCCACGACACAGAGGGACATTTCGGTTGGCAAAAGACTTTAGCCAATTTGATGCATGTGTATACTTGGCCAGGAATGAAAGCCGACTGCATGGAATACGTTCGTGGTTGCAAAGTTTGTCAAAGGAATAAGACAACTACGCATGCCCCTCTAGGTCTTCTTCGACCCTTGCCTATTCTTGACCAGCCTGGGGATTCAGTATCCATTGATTTCATGGATGCTAGCGTCAAGCGTAGGCATGGAAAGAGCCAAGTCATGGTAATAGTGGATAGATTTAGTAAATACGCTGCTTTTGTTCCCTTACTTGTTGCAGTGCGTACAAAGTTAGTCATTCAGAAGTTTTTTGACTTTTGGGTTAGTGATCACGAGATCTCATTGTCCATAGTTAGCGATAGGGACACCCGGTTTACAAGTCAGAACTGGCAGGAGTTAATGAGAGTATACGGGTCAAAGTTGCTAATGTCGTCTGGCCGTCACCCAGAGACTAACGGTTAGACTGAGCAGATGAATAAGATCTTGCAACAAGTTATGCGCATGTACATTAGACCAGATCAAGTCAATTGGGACGAGATGTTGCCCAAGGTAGCCAGTGCATATAATAACAGCGTGCACCTAGBCACGTGTCATACTCCCAAGAGCTGCATAAGTCCTTTAGACCGAGTAGACCGTTTGAGAGACTTAACCGGGACCAGATTCATAGGCTACTGCTCGGTACTAGGGAGTTTGCGATACAACACGAGAAAGAGTTAGCTACCGTTGTTGAGAACCTCAAGAAAGCCCATCATCGAATGATAGAACAGGTCAACAAACGTCGTCGCCCGTCACAGTTTCAAGTAGGCGACCTAGTCTAGGTCAAGTCCAAAGAGTTTGTTTGATGAGGAAAACATTTCGCAGATGTTACTGCCTGCATAAGGAGGACCGTGGCCAGTTCTAGAAGTTAACCCAGCACACCTCCACACCTACCCTGTGTTCCATGCATCAAGAAGATCCATGATCCCTCCGGACATCCATGCAAGGTATGGCATTGAGGGCATTGTATGTGAAGACGTATTCAGAACAGGAGGTAGAGGTCGTCCACAAAAACAGTATAAGGTTCGATTTGCTTATCAGGAACCCGAGGACGATCGCTGGTTTACTAGAACTGAACTTCTAGAAACAGCTCCCGACGTAGTTAGAGTCTTGGACTGAATTATTCTCTGAGGACCTCAAATTTAGGCCGGCGGGAGTGAAACGGTATTCACCTGTTAGCGGTAGGCAATGCAGATCCCAGGGCTCGATCCCTAGTTCTTACCTTACCTGTGTCGACCCCGAGAGTTGAAACCGTGACCTGTGTATTCGCAACAGTTGGTAGGCTGTCGTAGGTCCGTAGGTTGTAGGGGTTCGATCTGTAGACCTGTCGGGTAGAGGTCTTAGCAAGTTCTAGAAGTCGTAGCTGTAGGCCTTCTGAAAGGTCAAGTTCGTAGCTGTTACAGTCCTGAAAGGTCAAGGTCGTAGCTGCTACAGTGT